GGGTGTTGTTGGCAAGCTGTCTACTGCTGAAGTGCAGACGTAATCCAAACTTAGCTATACTCTAACCCAAATTCTGCTTCTATCCTAACTCTACATTAACCCTAAATCAGGTTAAATCTTACAACGAAGATTATTAAAAGCATCCTTTTGTAGTGCTGAGCAGTTTGATTGTTTGACCCAAGATCATTTGACTGTGGTATCCATTTTTAATTGTTGCCAAAAGAGCTTTTTAACACTCAGTGATATGACAATGATTTCTGTTTTTAAAAAAATAGCTCCTCTGAAATGTTATCATACTTTTTAACTTTATTTATTTTCTTTAAAGTTTCATTAATAACTAAATTGCTACTGACTCAAGACTCACAAGGAAGTCAGTCTTATAGTAGTTATTTTTCCATTTTTAATATAAATTATTTAAAAATTCATCTTTATTATTCAAAGTTCAATACCATTTTGCTTAAATAAAATCAAAGAGAGAAATTAGTTGCGTTTGGCGCCAGGAAATAGAAGAAAATGGAAAAAGGCTAGTTTCCTGAGAATCAGCACTAATATCAGATGCTTGCGATGAGGTACAATTTATAATAATTTCTTTTTTACATTACGATCACTAGATAGAATGTGACAAATGCATTAAAAATTTCATTGTCGGGACCGATTGTGGAATGAATAACAAGGATTGAATTATTCATGGTGTGGTATAATCCTAATGTGATTTTTCTGACTTGAGATAACGTCGATTAGTTGTAATTGAAATGAAAGTCAAGTTATAAGGAAAAGACTTGAACACCAAAGAAAATTTTCTTATCCACGATTCATTTTTATGAGCTGTACAATCGTAACTATATTAAACAAAGAAATCATTAGACCAATCAGATATTGGTAAACTTTGTCCTGGAAAAATGCATTCATGTAAGGTGCAACTTAGAAAGGAAGACTAATTGGAAGTTAGAAAAGAGTCAGTAGTCGGCATAACGTAATAAGTGTGAGATAATGACTCATCAATATGATTGTGTAGAGTGGACGGGAACTAGTGGAAAGATTTTTTTAAAAATTCCTTTACGTTCCCAGTGGAACATAGGGCTTCAAGCTAGAGGCTTGAAGTTTCTTGAGCAGTGTTTATTTTTACAGGATGAGTTTGCTAGCCTCATGCCCAACCTTTCCCCTTTACCAGTTTTATTTCTGGATTAGTGAGGTAAAGGAGTGCGTCTGCCGGGGATCGAACCCTGGACCATGTGCATGGTCGGTGAGCATCCTAACCGCTATGCCACCGACGCACTAGTGGAAAGATAATAAAGTGGGTTTTTTTTTATAAAATCTGTATGAAGACGCAGTGTTATTAATGAACAGTAATAGAGTGATAATAAAATATGGATGATGGGATTATTATTGATAATAAAATAATAGTAGTAATAGTAATAATAGTAAACTTACATAATAAAAAGAAGCAAAATTATAGTAAGAACTTTACTCTGGTCACGGTAGGGCGAGAGAATGTACGTATCGATTTTCAATGCAGAGGTTCGGTTTCAGATCCCGAATAGCTAATGCATCAGCTATGTACAGATGGCGTGTGCGAAGTCCTGTTTTACGATATTGAGGGACTCTGTGTAGCACCGTGAAGCATTCATGCGGGGTGTTCGATGTCCACAGATAACAAGGTGTTCGATGGGAAATTAACTAGTAATCTTCTTTCCTCCTCTGGCTAATCAAGCTGGGAAATGTTCCAGAATACGTTTAGGGATTTGACGTTGCGTACGGCCGATATACTTTGCTCCATACAAGCAAGTAAATTGATAGATACACACTGAAGTGGCCAAAAGCGGTATCTTATCTTGAACGATAAACAGGATTGACTGTCTGGTGGAGAATGTGATGTGTAAGGTGGCTGCTTGAAATGTCTTCTTCAGACATTTCGAAGGGCGGTTTCTAAGAATTTCTGTTCCAATGCGACCTTTGAATTCTAGGTTTATGAAGAGTTTTCCTAGGAACAGTTGTGACTTTTGGCGACTGAGGCTTCTTTCTCATGTCTTTGTCTATGAATGGAGTAAAATATAGGCCTTCAACAGAACATCTCCAATTATTATTATTTTTTATTACAGCTTGATTCCACACCGTATTTTTGGTACAGGTATAGAATTTTCAGCATGTGATATTGGTAGCCCAAATTTTGCAGGCCGACCATAGATATCGGGTGTGCGTCGGCAGGGGTCGGCGAGAGTCCTAACCACTGTGGCCTGTTCTTCGCAGTCCTCTTTAGCTGACCTCACGACTGCCCATAAACTCTCATCTCCTCCTCACACCATCTCTTCCGTGTCACCCTCGGACACACACTCAACTTTCTGTTTCCCATTGAGGTCTGTCGAGTGATGTCACTCAACGGTCCTCTCAGCGTGTGTGTGTCGAATTCATATCTATTTTCTTCCACGTATTTGTTGAACAATAGATTCTTGATTGGTTTGTTGGTTGCCAGAGTTTCTTGTCACTCATCCTTTCTGATTGACTATCTGATCTTCAATATAGAGCCAGAGAAAACAGTTGTTGATGAAAGTCCGCAGTAGACTGTTGGAAAAGCTTTTTGTGGTGCTCCCACGAGTTTCTGATGAATTTAGAAGAAGTGACTGACTGACTAACTGACACAACACTGTTGTTGAAAATCCGAATTTTCTTGTTTATGCTGAATGCAGTGCAATTGGCTTCCAAACTGATTTCAGAGTGATGAAGGTGTATCTCGCCTTTCTGATCCTGGTCCACTTTGATGTCCTCATCCGCTCTGCTGCCTTTAGTCGAAACGATACTCACTGATCGGATTAGTGTCGTTGGCAGTGACTGGTTATCGTTGTTGCTAGATACATTAAAACGACTGAAGGTGTCGGGGGTGGATATTTTTGGAAAGAAGATACAGAAGACCGATTGAGGCCGTCATAAAAGGGTGGAGTTGAGGGAAAAGGAGTATGTGGGCCCACCTGGTGAGACCAGCTACTGACAGCGGACAGTATGTTGTATGCCCAGTCAGGTCCTTATTACTCACAAAGAGTTGTAATTCGCCAGCCGCTTGTTATGAAGATTTCAGAAAGCGTATAGTGCGGCCTAGGGCACGCGGAAATCAATAAAATGCTGCAAGCCATTACCCAGCATGCTTCATTATGCTTCATGCTTCATCATTCTTACACAGTGTATTTTTGCATAGGGGAATTAGTTGTTCCCACCGATTTTGACTGGTGTGTCTTTTAACTTCATTTACGCGTGCTAATCAAGTGAAATTGATTGGTGACCAGTATTTGATCTTCAGCTGATTCGCCTATTACTTTTCGTTATTGAACCAACAAGTGAGCAGTATTGGCGTATCACAGATATAAGATTTTGGCGACGCCTATCAAATTCCAGTATCATAATCGACACGACGCCAGTCATCTACACTTAAATGTCTAATACCAAACACAATTTGAAAAGGTTTACACTCACACTTACTCTGTAAGAGAATGATTATTTTTTGCATTGAAGAGTCTAATATTTTTTGGAACATTGATAATACTGTAACGACAGAAGCCAAGGGCTGGGAAACAGATCGTTTATTGAGAAAATCAACAGATATTTATAGATTTTCATGTACATTATAATTCGTTATTGTTAGCAGAGAAGCAACGTCCTCTGATTGGTTGTTTTCTTGCTGAAGGTTATTCTGTTATCTCTTTTGGTCATTTCTCAAAAAATCAAGCCATATATCTGCAAATCATATTTCCACACTTTGACTGCACTGTGATTGGTTGGCGATCTTCTCAAGGTTAAGCTTTGTGCTTGTTTTTCTCATGACCCTTATTCGGAACGTGAATACTGACGTAAACTGTTGTCTACAATTTTTGGCCTGGCCCGCTCTCACCACACTACTAATGCAGGTGCTAAGACCTTTATTTTTCATTATGGACGACTTGAACTGACTTGAAATCCTTGAACTAAAATTCCCTCTACAGAAACCGAGCACATTAGGCTTTTTTTCCATCTCACTCTTAAAAAGCTTCCTGTTATTCTTCTATGCATAATGACGAGTAACTGTTACAACTTAAATCGACTGGTTGTGATCTAAACGCAGGAAACTGATATCTAAGTCCTCCTATGTGTCTGACAAAACTTCCCCAAGAGAAACACAGTCAAAAACACTCTAAAGGCACTAAAGAGATAGTTATTCGTGGTTAGGTCTATGTTGTTCTATTCAGTAACAACAATAATAACATCGAAAACTGTAAATTATCTCAACAATGCCATTAAACAGTTTTGCAGGCCGGATAATTTTCTAAGTGCAAAACAAGTATTGTAGAAAACAAATCAGTTGACCAAATTTCAACCGTACGAAGTACCTGAGAATCAAGTAGAATAATTCCCAATGAGGTGGGATCAAAAATCGTGTCCACGAGAATCACACACCAACAATTCCTGCACACAGTTCATTCGCAGAATCGCCTTGATTCATTCAGACAAACCCACACTGTAAGACAACACATCAGTGTCATTACGCAACCACGAAGAGAATCGTTAAAATTAGAGATTAGACAATGAAAAAGACAATTAATAGGGACCACGTCAACATATTATATTCCACTGTCGGAAAAAGGTAGTAATAATACTAATATTTACAAAGGTAGTTGAAACATCCGAATAAGTACAAATATTTTAATTAGATCATCGTTCAGGAGAGATTTTCCAAACAATTATTCCGTCATAGCAATATAATTTTATGTTTTTTTCAAATTATTTTCTAAAAGTCAGTGTTGCTCTTAAGATTACAATATTATTTTTATGGTAGTGCTTATGACTATGTAACAACATATGGAAATTATCATGTGTCATCTGACTTCAAACAAGTTTCTCTTTATTGACATGATTTATACATGAAGAGGTCAATTCATTGTCAAGTGATTACATCACAGGTTCCTCAAAGAGTAGATACTTTGGGCACATTATATACCAATAAATCTAATTACTCGAAATTCTCTTAATTTTCGGTATATATATATATATATACTCATTTGCATCCTTTAATAGAATTAAGCTGTTTTCAGGGTATCTCTCGAATTTCTGATCTGACCAAGTGGCAATAACAGCAGCGAAATCATGGAACCCTTCATCGCTACATTCAGTGCAATCGACAAAAGCAGAAGTAATGTGATTACAATTGATCAACTAAGAACTTACGTCAAAGAAAATCATTTAGATAGAGAGATGATTCCGGTGAGTGCGTTTCAATTTAAATATGCATTCATGTACCACACGTTTTGATTTAACATCACTGAAAAAAATACGTATTCAACAGAAGTCTACAAATGTACATTAAAATGGGTTACCTAGTAAGCATGGCTGCAATAATTTAATCTTTTTGAGCCTGAAAAAAATCTATTTTGAAGCCTTATTTCATAAGTGGAATTGCATGATAAGATTAGCTTTTAACTAGTTAAATTTCGCTCACTGTAGACTCACTACAGTCTGATGAGATTGTCACCCTCACACCAACGACCCACTCGTCGCTTCCCATTTGGATTCCAATCGAGCAATGGCCTGCATTGCGCCCAGTGTCATTTAACGGCTTCCTCAACATATGTCCGGTCCATCTCCATTTTCTCCTACACATTTCTTGAACAACCGGTTCCTGGTTGGTTCATTCCCAACCAGAGTTTATTGTTGCTTATTCCTTCTGGACAACCGGCCATTTGATCTTCAGTATGGAGCCACAGAAGGTGACAGCTGTTGATAAAAGTCTGTAACTTGTTGGAAATCCTTTTCGTGACAGGCAGTGCAAGTTTCTAACGCGTATAGTAGAACCAACTTCACATCTGTGTTGAAAATGCGAATCTTGTTCCTTATGGTGAATGCAGAAGATTTCCAAACTGGTTTCAGGTTGATGAAGGCATATCTTGTCTTTCCGATTCTGACTTTGACATCTTCATCCGTTCTACCTGTAGTTGAAACGATGCTTCCTAGATAAGTGAGGGAGGTAACCCCTGTTAAATCTGTCCTCTTGATGGTCGTTGCTGTTGTTGCTGTTGGTTCACTGGTTGCCTTCATCACTTCTGTTCACCTGCAGTCTTATCTCCATTGGCTGCTTCTTCAGCCAGTTTGTTGGTTTTCGCCTGTAAGTCTTCGGGTTTGTGTGACATACGAAATATATCATCGCATTATTCAAATTGAAGATACAATAAACTTTATCTTCTCAGAAATGCTCCAACTTTTCGGTATTTCAGTCACCACTTTAACTAGGGGTTAGCCAAAATACTAACATGATTATTTTTAGTCAAAATTTTAAGTTACAAATTCACTTTTAAGCATGATAGATCCATAAGTTTTTGAGGAAATAGGCATGACGTTTACATGAGTTTGGGTCCTATTAGTAATAATAATAATAGTCTTTTAATAATACTAGCTTTATTTTGGACAGTTTTTTATATAATGTGTAGAATTTTCGACGGAGATATGACATTTCCTCTTCGTTTAGGATCTTTAGGCAAAACAGCAATTGACAGCAGATCCTGTGACACAATACTGTCTAATCTGAAGCGCAAACCAATCCATTATGATCTCTTCTTTGTCTCCTTCAAGAAATGCACAAATTTTGGTTGAATACCAACCATTAAAAGTTCAGGAGTACATTCTGAGAACCAAGAATATAACTCAGGAACAGTTACCTAATGTAATGGGATACACTGCCACCCAGGATTATGCTTTTTCTCAAGTTAATTAGGAACTGACGAATCAGCAGGTTATTATTATTGTTCCCTTGGGTTCATAGTAGAACATGGGTCTTCAGCACCACAGCTCCAGTTTGTCCTACCCACCTGAGCTGCCCATAAAGTCTCATCTCTTCCTCGCACTATCTCCTTCATGTCACCCTTGGATGACTCACTCGCCGTTTCCTATTCCTATTCCACTCGAGGGCTTAGAGAGTGATGTCACCCAAAGGTCTCCTCAGCTTATGCCTAATTTACCTCCATTTTCTTCAGCAGGTTATAAATGTTTTAAATACTCGCAAGAATAAATAATAACGTTAGAGGAACAAGAGGAATTATATGTAATATAGTGATGGAGGCATTTGGTAGTCCAAGTTTTAAGCAGGCTGACGTAGAAAGATGCATACTATGAAGTGTTATTTTAGTATCTTGACTAGAATTTATTTATAGTTTTCAAGTGGCTTCATTCCATTTCAGGCACTGTCTAACCATTTATGTAATAATAAAAATTAAATGTATGTACTAAATCCTAAAATATCATCAAATTTTTACTTTTTTACACGTTAATTGTAATGTGAGATAGGTTAGACAATGAGTAAAGAATTTCGTAGAGAGCAAGCGATCAGTAGTAGTTCTCGCACTAGCGCTATCAAAAGCAAATGAATTTTACTCATCTTTGAGAGAGAAAATTCATTTTAAAGACATGTACATACGCATACGACATATATGTGGTTCTGTTTATACCATCAGAAGAGGCGGCAGACAGAAACGCGTTAACGCCAACCGACTTCTGAAATGATTACAGTGGAGTAAAGAATTTTGTACCAAAACACAGTATGAGAGGATAGAACCAAGAAGTTTGAAGCGCCTGCTCTCCTCACATTGTGATGGCAGCCGAGTGCAGCGCAGTGCTACCGACAAGAATTTGTGAGTAGTATATTGGCGGCGTCTCTGAAAGAACGGCGAATAGAAGAGAAACGGATCAAGTAGGAAAGGGAAGAAATGAAGGTAACTTTAGACCGATATAAGAAGCATGAATTAATCACAAAGGAAGCGGAATACAAATACTTTTTTCGTATTAAAGTGCCAGTGTGAATTTTTCATATCACACCATAACTGCACGTAATTCTGACAAAGAAAAGATCGTGATACCAAAAATCACCATGTACTACAGTTACATCAGTTGTTAAATACACAAAGTACTTGTTATGTGATCTTCAGGCAGCTGTTCTAACCTTATTGCACTGTGTTTGGCATCGCGACGTGGGTAGTTGTCTGACTACCAAACACCACCTATGATTTCACTCAAAGACAATTCTGAACAGGTGGAGTTCACGTTTAGTGTGAAAACAGTGGTAAAGATCACTTGCAATATTAACAACAGGCAAATTACATTAATTTAATTGTACTACTTACAAATTATATAGTAGTATGAAATATATTGTAAATTTACAGCCTTGGAAGCCCAATATATTTGATTTTTAATATCTATTTCTTTTCATTAGAAATGGCAAAATTTGTTCGATCCTATGGGAACTGGAAAGATTACCTTTCAAAAATTCTGTGATGTCCTTGGAATCAAACCGGAAAGAATGTAAGTTCTTTTAATATTAAACATTACAGAAAAATAAAATTCTAAGTAGAAATAGTAAGTTTTCGTATCCATAATAGGAATAGCAAGGCATTTTATGTATAGAGCTGCATAGCCAATTCACAATTCCTTTAATTAGTTCTTAAGTTTAATCATAATAATATTAACGTGCTGTGCATTCTTGTATCACTCCTGATAAGACATAATATTGTAAGCGTAGAATGGTGTTATTTTTCAAAATGTGACCGTTTACTATGGCAATTATCTGAATGTTTACTAAACAATGTCTCTTTGACTGAACACTAGCCAGTAAGCAACTAGTGCCATCCATCCAGTCCTTGCGTTTGCTGCAGACTGAACTCTATCAGCCAAATTTATAATGTGGCCATCATACTAGGTGACTCACCAACACAGTGCACTCTAAATTGTTGTTATCAGACTGCAGATATGCCTTCCTGACTAGTGAGTGTCAATAAGCACGGGACCTAGGTCTAAGTATTATTACTTCAGATTGCTTCCAACCATCCAATGATGTCTCTAACTAACGGTGCCAGCCTTTAGAAGTGTTGGATTAAAATTTGCTGAATTTATTTGTACTGATCAGCTAACGTGACTTTTGTGTTAGATATCAAAAACTGTCCCATCCGCTACGAGAATTTAGGCGTGTGGTAAAATGTAGTTCCATATTAGATATGACAAACAGTGACACAGTGTTAATAAAATCATGACATTTCCAATGTAGTTAATTGTTCATAATCATATCAATGTATTCAGGTAAGTTATATCATTCATCCACCTGGTTGTAATTTCAAGCTTATAAATTTTATTTCACATAAAGTAGGCAATAAGAACAACCAATAATTCTGAATCAGTAATATAAACTTGAAGGATCTGGACTTCGCCGATGATATATGTCTGATTTCCCACAAACTGGAGGATATGCAAGCGAAAAGCAACAAGTTGGCAGAAGAACCATCAAAGATAGGACTTTATTTTTATTTTATTTTTATTTTGATTTACAGCTTGATTCCACACACTTCAGGTGAACATAGAGAAAACAGAGGTGATGGAGATTCCTGGGCAACACCACCAACAGCAACAACAACAGACAACAATCAGCATAAATGGGAGGAACCTGAAAGAAACAACCCCTTTTACCTATCTACCTGGGAAGCATCGTTTCAACTGCAGGCGAAACTGACCAGGATATCAAAGCAAGAATCGGGAAAGCAAGACAAGCTCTCACTACTCTCAAGTCTGTGTGGAGGTCAACAGCACTCAGCATGAGAAATAAGATCCGTATTTTCAACTCCAATGTGAATCAGTCAGTGCTACTTACTATATGGATCAGAGACTTGGCCAGTGAGTCATAAAGAGCATCTCAAACAAACTACAGACCTTCATTAACAGTTGTCTTCGCTCAATACTACTCAAGATCAGATGGCCGGTCAGAAAAGATCAGCAAGAGAGATCCTTGGCAATGAGTGAACCAACTCAGCAGGAACCGATTGTGAAACAAATAGGCATGAAGAAATGGAGGTGGTGGATTGGCCATACTCTGAGGAAACCATCAAGTGACATCACTAGACAAGTCACTGCTCGAGTGGAACCTGGCCGAAAGGGAAGCGGCGAGTTGGTCGTCAGTGCAAGGGTGACTTGGGGGAGGTCATGTGAAGAGGAGATGAAAGAGTGTGGGCAGACTTGGAGCCAGTTGAAGACTCTAGCAGAGAACCGAACGCAGTGGAGACTCACGGCTGAATCCTTATGTTCCTCTAGGAATTAAAGGAAACAATAATAATATAAAAATAATAATATAAACCGAATTTCTGATGCTGTTTGATTTTCAACGGTTTTGAAGCTGATTTTATTTTGTGAAGAGATCTCCTGTAAAAGTGCAAACATCCAATATCCTGTTTGCTTTTAATTCAGTTTTGATTTTCCTGTTGACTGGGATGGAACGAAATGCTCAGCCTCTGTTGACATGTCGGTTTCTAGCACATACGCTTCACGGATGTCTGGGGATTAACTTGAAGTAGTTCAGTGAATGGTGACTAGCAGTGGAATCCAAAATACAGATTTCACCCTGTTTGGGACTCGTCATCTGCGTGCACCTGCACTCTCAGTGAGTGATGGTGTTCCCATTGAGACTCGAACCCATTATTCATCTTTTCAAAATCCAAAAAAATTATCCATTAAACCACTTGGGCCCCAAGAGCCACCTCATGTGCAACGCTCATCAGTTACTATTGGTTTCCAATTCAATTATGATTTCCCCATTGATTAGTGCAGGTACGCTGGGATGATGAGTCCCAAATAGGGCGAAATGCGAATCCTAGATTCCACTGCTAGTCACCGTCCATCAAAATTAATTCAAGATCCTAGTTTGGAAAATACAGTTCACTGCTAAGAACTCTATCCTGCTGTTTATACTTTTCGCATTCCGATAGCCTACAAACGAAAGTTACCGACCGATAATTATCTCTTCTTTTTTTATTATTATTGTGTGAATCACTCATCCTTGAAATCAGTTCCAGATATCTATGAGGAAAGTGACTACTACTGTATAAAATGCTGATGAGTTCTATACTTTAGTGTAGGAAAAATTAACAGAATAAAGAGAATATTAGTAGAAATTAAGATTTGTCGTGTATCTAACCACAGTTAGAACTGAATCCATGTTAGTGGCTCGAATGTAGAAATGCTCATCAGCCATGCACATAGACTGGGGTTCGCCTCCCTGTTAGCGCACATCCTCATTTCTCTTAGCCGGTTGAAAGCCCAACAAGGGAAGATGATATGGCATGAGATTTAAGAATAAAACTTGGGCACTGTGGTAGAATGTAATTCCATTATGGGTAAATTTTTATTTTGATAGAGTCTCACAGTGTTATACAGTAATATTTACTGATGACGTTTCGAGCACAATTTATTGCTCGTGATCATATCAAGTTAATCACACGACTTCCTAAATTCATTTATATAGTTCCATTGTTTTTCACTTGATTTGATTGGTAGTAGTATTTTCCATATTTCAGGTATGAGTGATGATTCATTCCTATTGCATGTGTTGGGTGTAGATTCGATGAACAAGAATTCAGTAATCAACCTCTCTCTCCACCTACCTAGATTACTTTTTAGAATTTCAACCCTCTCCCACCCTATTGTGATGACTTATATTCTCTCTTATTTATGTTATTATTACTAGTTTCACAATTATTTTTCTTTTTCTTTTGGCGGTTTTCAATCTTTCTAATGAATTTTAGAGGATAGTTATTTAAAACCAACGCCTCTTCTATCTGTTTTATTTCATCATTAAGGTCTTTTTTTGTGCTACTTAGTCATCTACAGTTATACCATTTAAGGAGGGGACATCTGGGACCCTACGTAGGATTCTAGATAAAGCAGGAATTAGGGTGGCATTTAAACCTACAAACTCACTCAGGTAGGACAAGCTCTGTAGGTTAAAGGACGCTGTGGGTTGACCTAAATAGACAAAATAATATAATTTACAAAATACCCTGCAATGACTGTGAGTAAGGTCAACTACATAGGTCAAACTAGTAGGTCAGGGGTAGTCAGTTTGTCAGAACATAAGAATTTAGCTAAGGTAAGAATGGTTGACCCCGAGAAGATAAGTAATTTAGAAAAAAGCTCAGTGATTGCACTGCATGCATTAACACACAACCACACAATAGGGTGGGAGAGGGTTGAAATTCTAAAAAGTAATCTAGGTAGGTGGAGAGAGAGAGGTTGATTACTGAATCTTTGTTCATCGAATCTACACCCAACACATGCAATAGGAATGAATCATCACTCATACCTGAAATATGGAAAATACTACTACCAATCAAATCAAGTGAAAAACAATGGAACTATATAAATGAATTTAGGAAGTCGTGTGATTACCTTGATATGATTATGAGTGGCAATAAATTGTGCTCGAAACGTCATCAGTAAATATTACTGTATAACACTGTGAGACTCTATCAAAATAAAAATTTACCTATAATGGAATTTGGCATGAGACTTGTAACTCCAACGCATGATAAAATAATAACACCACTGCAACTGGAGCTTCAAAACTCAAGCCTGAAACCGTAGGTTCCACTCGGAACTCAGAGGAATTAAATTTTTAAAAATAACAAATAAGTTCATATATAGCTTTATTATTTTAAAACAATTGGTTCGCTTTATGAATTTAGACAAGACAATAAGAAGATGTAATTTGTCTGAATCATGTAATACTGTATTTGTGCTACACATTTCGAACAATCTGATCACACACACGAACTTGTCATAGGAGTACATATATATGAAATTAATAAAGAGTTAAGAGGTGAGAAAATAGACTTTGATCTATTTAAAAGGACAAAATAACAATGAAGACCACTAAACCAAATAAAAGAGGTAATAGTGTAACGACAGAAGACAAGGGTCAGGCAACAGATCGTTTATTAAGGAAAATCAACACATATTTATAGATTTTAATGTACATTATGGTAGATTATTGTTAGTAGAAAATACAGTCTTTTGATCGGTTGTTTCTCGCTGAAAGTTAACCTTGCATCTCTTTGTGGCTGTGTCAGACCATCCATATGCTAACTGTACCCGCCTACGCAAAGTCTTTGTTCTCATTTTCTCACGACCAATATTGGGGACATAACCACTGACGTCAATTACTGTCTACCAACTTTGGCTAGCAGCCAGCTCTCACCACAATAGTACATCTACTATGGTATGAAAACAAAGTTTACCTAGGTAGGTTTAATGTGATGACGAATTGTTGCTTTGAACGCATAAAGGTGGTTTATACCTCCCAATTGCAAGCTAAGCCTTCCACAAACCTTAGGATACGCCCCAAACATGTTTTATAGATAGGTTTGAAAGATGTGTAAACGCCAATTTTGTTTTGTCTCTAGAATACGTTTCGCGATAGAGGAGCTAGGTGTCCTGTTCTCATCATTAATAGGTCCTGGGGATTTTATTTGCTTCAGAAGCCAGTCCTTACTTGCAGAGATCGATGAGTCCTCCCTATGAATGCGTGGCCAAACGTACATTCAAATTGGTAAATACAGTAGAATGTGACATAATTTTTCGTATGTTCAAAGGGCTTAGGTAGATATATTGGCTTCACATTCTTAACTCTTTTTTAATTTCATGTATATTCCTATGACAAGTCCGTGCGTGTGATCAGATTGTTCGAAATGTGTTGTGCAAATACAGTATTACACGATTCAGACAAATTGCGTCTTCTTATTGCTTTGTCTAACTTTATTATTAACACGTAATTCTATCAAGAGGAATTGATGGGTTTTTTTTAAATTTCACTTTCTTCTCTCTCTAGTCAATCTGTGAGTATGCGACCGGCCAATGCAAATTTACCTCCGGCTGGAGTTCGTCCAGAAATCTTAATAATTATGCAAGAATTACCATTGGCAGATCAAATCAAAATATCTGAAGAAGCTTATAGACTTGCTCAGCCGAAAGATAAATTCATTGAAAAAGATGTTTCAGAAAAGCTTAAAAAATGGCTTGATGCTACATACGGTCGTCATTGGCATGTAACTCTTGTCAAAGGTTCATACTGGACAACGTATACGCATACACCGAATTGGTCATTTCATTTCAAAATCGATCAACATTCATTCATTATATATCGTACACAAGAATAGATTAGTGCTTAACTAAGATGGAATAGTTTTTAGTAACTCATTATATTTTTATATATCAGAATTAAATCCATTGTCAATTACTTATTCCACAAGATAAATACAGCTGTCTTACAATCTTCTCCGTTTTTAAGTGGAAAAATTAGTGGAACAATAACAGCATGCTTAAGTTATCAAGGAACTTAGCCCTAAGTTCCTATTGTAAAGAAGACGCTCTGAACCGATAATTACTATGTATCTTTCTCGACTTTTACTCCAAAACACCAGTATTCGTTTGAAGGAAGTTATATTGTTTGGTAATTAAAGTAAAGATTAATACAAGTCTATAAACAAATGTTTCATACAAAATTATAAAGTACTTTTATTCGTGTTCTTTCGTCTTCTTCGAACTTGCACACGATTGAACAATTCGCGCCTTCGAGTTGCCCGCCAACTGCTACCAGTTCCAATAAACAAACGTTCAATGTTCGCGTCCATTGACATAAGTCTTTCACTAACTTTGTATTAAGCACCGGGATACTATTGAACTAGTGCGTGGTGCACCCTGAATTTTTGTTATTCGATTTTTGGAGGCAGTCGTCAGAAGGGACATGAGTTCCTTCAAGGTTGTAGATACACCCCGCTGACGAGTGCCAACGAGCACGAAACCTAGGTTCAAGTCTCTAACCATCTAATAACAACCATTCTTTGTTACAATGTTAAACCATGAAATAAGTAAACATAAGAACGCTTCTGTGAGTTTTCTTACGGCTCGATTTTATTTTCAGGCACATTTCTTAGCTTATTATTTATTTAAATGTGTAATCAACACAAGCCAAAATTGTTGTCCTAGATGTTACTTGGTTACAAGGTAATGGGCATTGACATGATAATTTCTCTTAGGAGGCAAGGTGTAGCGTTCAAACTATCCAAAATAAGACGATCAAACTATTCTTCCTTCGTTATTCAAATGTAACAGCATTCTCCCCAGTGATTTTAAAGTGCGAATCGAGATGTCATATGCATAGAGGCTTACTCTGCTGAATTCGAATCTTAAGTAATTATTATGCCTTCTTTGCTATTTGGGTGGAACATTGCAATTCAGAAGTACATCTCATGTGTATTCTGTTCTGTGCAACCAATTTCAACTGACTTGACGACTGCCCACAATCCTTCACTTTCGCCTTATGCGATCCTAGCCATATCACCCTCGGATACTCATAACGTGGCTTCCCGTTCAAGTTCCAATCAAGGTCCTTCATGGTGTGTAATGTAACTCGGTAGTCTCCTCAGTGCATTTGCAGTCTACACCCATTTCCTTGTACATTTGTTTTGGTTGATATGTTCTTGACTGGTTCAATGTCAGAGTCCCATGTTGTTTGCTTATCCTTTCCGGCTTTTTTTATTCCTTTACGTACCAGTGGAACATAGGGCTTCAAGCTAGAGGCTTAAAGTTTCTGTATCAGTGGTGATTATTTTTACAGGATGGGGTTGCTAGCCTCATGCCCAACCTTCCCTCTTTACCAGTCTTATTACTGGCTTAGCGATGTAAAGGAGTGCGTCGGCGGCCAGGGATCGAACCCCGCGCCACCTGCGTGGTCGGCGAGCCCTCTACCGCTGTGCCACCGACGCACACATCCTTTCTAATTAACCATCTGATATTCAGTATCGACTAAGTGAAGGCAGATGTTGATGAAATCCTTCTGTAGACTGCTGGGAATGCTTTCTGTGAAGTGCGGCTGAGTATTTGGATCTCAGAGAAGCACTCATTGTTTTGACACTAGTGTTGAACATTCGGATCTTGCCTCTTGTGTCAGTGAAAATGACTGCAGAGAAAATAGGACAACGGGTGTGTGTGTGTGTCCTGGGTGGCTTAGACTTTCTTCTTCTAGCGAAAATCAGTCCGTAAGCAATAAGAAGTGCGCCTTCACAGGAATTTAAATTTTGTCCCATGAATTACGAACATATTTACTTTTTCCTTCTTTCTCCTTTGAGCACGATGTCAATTTGTTTAAAGTGTAATTTGCAACTAATAATTGTTGGATTTAGAAGTCAATGTTATCCAGTAACTTTTGTTTGAGTATTCAGCGTCGCTGACCATTATGATAAATTCCACTTGAAACCGAGAATTCGTATAATTATGCAATTGACAATTAGGAATCACCTTTCACATGACGTTATCTTGAATTTCACCTGATTCTACCGGACAAATAAAATTCCGTTACCAGTAAGGTGAATTGGAAGTGGTTTCACCTCCTAAACTGATGCTCTTCACCTCTGTCTTCCCTATGTTCACCCGAATTTCTGTCCTCACTGATTCTTCTGCCAACCTTTTAGGTTTCGGCTTGTAAGTCTTCGAGTTTACATGACGTGAGACACAAATCTCGCACGGAATCCAGATCTTCCAGATTGTTTTTGTCAGTTCAACATATCCTTGTCTTCTGACGTCCCGCGACCTATCGGGTGTTCCAATCCACCAAAATCAGGAAGGTTGTCAGCAATAATAATTTAGTGTATGCTACGGGTGTGATGTGTGTTACTGACAAGAGTGGATAAGAAGGATGTCTCACTTCGACTTATTATAGATGTGGTCAACTCACCATGTCATCAAATCTCTAAATGGCTAGCAGACATCCTCGAACTGGTCCACAGACATATGACAAGGTATATCCTTAGAGACACACTTGGTTTCATTGATTCATTCAAACATGTCATGTGTATGAAAGACGGATACTGTCTCTAGATGTTATGTCCTTATTTACAGGCATCACTTTAACCGAGACAACATGCTTCATATGGGACCGCATCAAGTTTAACCACCTAGAAGTTCCACTTTCCATTAACTACCTCGAGGAACCACTTCTCATATGTACGTCTAATATTCAGTTCAGATTCAGCGAACAAATCAACGTACAGAAATACGGTGTGGTTATGGGGTCTCTTCTTAGGTCCCCTCTGTACTGACTTTTTCATAGCGGGTCTTGAAAGCAATATTCTCGATCCGCTGATCAGTGAACTGCATCTTTAAAAAAGATATGTGGATGAACTTAATAAATTGTGATAGAAAATTTGATTTCAGCAATCTCCTCAACACTTTCAATGCGGCACGCCCTTCAATAAAATTCACTTTAGGATGTGAAACAAACATGGTGTTTTCATTCCTTGATGTACTACTTTTTAGAATGCAAGACAGCTCGATTCAAAGACTAATATACCAGAAATCAACATGCTGGACTCAGTGGTCCGAAAGCAAAACTTAGTATGTGCCTTATACTCAAGGACTAGAAGATACGATAGAGAGTAAATTAAAACCGCCACTTGACACCCTACTTGATAATGGATATCCACCCATATTTATCAACAAAATACGAGAGAAAAACCTGTTACCGAAAGCTGCAACTGTTCCTAAGAAAACTCTCTTCATGCACCTAGAATTCAAAGGTGACACTGAATCAGAAATCCTTAAAAATCACCTTCCTAAACATCTGAGGTAGACATTCCATGCGACCACCTTAGAATCACATTCTTCACTAGACAGTTTATCCAGTCAATCGTTGAGGATAAGATACCACTTTTGGCCACCTCAGTGTGTATATATCATTTTACTTGTTCGTATAGAGAAAATTTTACTGGGAGTACAAAACGTCAGGTCCACAAATTTATTCTAGGACAATCTCCAGTCTGGCTAGCCAGAGGAAAAACAGAATACCAGTTATTCCACCACCGAACACCTTGTCAGCTCTGATTATTGGGCACTTACGTATGACTAGTTCACAGTGTTACACAGAGTTCCTCAATATCGCACGAAAGGACTTCGAATACACCATCTAAACATTGATGAATCACTAACTAACTATTCGAGACGTGAAACGTGACATCTGCATGCAAGAGCACTACATACATTCACTCCCTTTTTGTGGCCCGTGTAGCATTCTCAGAATGATTTTATTACATTCTGATGTGTAGCTTTTTTTATTTCACATTCTTATTTCACAATCAATATAATATTGTGTATAAATAACAGTGCATTTTCATACAGATATTACGAAAATACATAAGCATATTTCCATCGGCATTTTGTTCATTCATGATGACTGGTCATTTTTCACACTTATTATATCACTTCAACTTCTGCCCTCTTTTTCTAATCTACATCCCCACTCCCTAGATTACACCTCACACTATGTTATACATTTTCTAGAACAAATCTATTGGCATCTTATTAGTCTTGTGAATTTCTTTGTTAAATATAAACACGACTGTACAGCTTTTAAAAATGATTAGTTGAAAAGAAAATTTTCTTTTTCTTACTGACAGGACTTTGTAAGTAGTGTATTATGTGTGATACCTTCTGCAAGAATATTAATGGTATTGTACGGATGAGCCACGAATAGGAGAAATAAAAGGTCCTCATGAAAAAATATAGCAAGCATGAAAAGAAGACAAAGGAGGCACAATACGAGAAATACTGCAAATGAAGATTTCAGCATTTTACCACAACTGTACATCATTTTGTCTAGTAAGCAATTCTGCTACTTAATACTGCCATTTTCTGCATTTATGCCGATTTTTAAATGCAGTCACAAAACGTAAATATTACTTTCATGCTGAATACAAAATGTTCACCGACATAATTTGTTATAATTTAGTGGATGGTGATGAGCAGTGGAACCCAAGATGCACATTTCGTCCTAATTGAGGCTCGTCATCCGGATGTACTTTCATTCCCCAGTGAGTAATGTTGTTCCCACCGACATGTCAACAGAGGCCAAACATTTCAGTCCACTCAGTCAACGGGAGCACGAGGACAGATACGTGCCGATGATACTGAATGTTGGTAGATCTATGTGCCAAATAGTCAGAAGAACGAATCCACGGGATGTTGGATTACAACGCAGTGGTATAATGTTAACATGTTCACATCTTAGCCTTAAAGTTATGGGTCCCGTCTTTAGACAGGTCATAGGAGTATGCTACCAAGGTATTTATTATTCTTCCCTTGGGTTCCGAGTGTAACATAGGCCCTCAACAACACATCTCCACTTTGTTATATTTCCTGCCGTCCTCTTCATCTGGATCCGCGATCGCCCATAAGCTCTCATCTCCTTTATATCACCCTCGATGTGACTACCTA